TCAGTCACCGAGTAGGCGCCGGATCCCGGTGAGCTATGCCCCCGGCCGGCCTATCTTTTCCCCACGCGCCGGCGTGACTATAGTGCCACGCAAACGCGAGGTAGGCTACCCTTTTCCCTTTCTTCCCCTTCCTGGATTAGGGTTAGGGTTTGGATAGCTTTTCCCCCCGATTTGATTTCTTCTCAGGTAACTTTTCTTTTCTTTTCCCGAACCCGATCTAGGGTTAGGGTTCGATTTCTTTTCTTCCCTGATCTAGATCTACGACTAGACAGACTAGCTCTGATACCATTGTTATATCAATTAGGATCTCCAGCAGTAGATCTAGGAGGGACACCCTTGGATCCGTAATAGCACATGCATATCTAGACCTAGAACACTATACCGAGAGGGAGATAGGGTAGAGGTGCTGGTGTTGAACCTAAGCCTTCGGATGAAGTCGCGGTTGAGCTGGCCATCGCTGGTTCGTTGATGGAGGCAAGACACGCAGGCAGCGTGACGGGTGGAGTAGAGGTTACCACAGACGTCGATGCAAAGGTGACGGATGGCGAAAGCTTGATGACGACGACGAAGTCAGCGGAGCTTCCCGTCGCTGGCTCCGCGCCCTCTTAGATCGGTCTAGGGTTTGTCGGTGGGGTTTGCGGCTCACGGTGAACCTCGTACCTCGAGCCGCCGGCCCCCACCTCTTTATATAGCGCAGTGCGACAGGGGCCCACCAACCATGTAGGGTTGGGCGCCCCCGATCAGGGCGCGTGACCAAGGCCCAATAGGCCGTTGGGCTTATTGGTTGAGAGATCAATCTAACAGCCCTGTGTCCTTCTGCTGCTACGTGAGGTTACGGGGTAGCAGCTGACGTTTGGATAGGCGGGTGTTGATCCATCGTATATGCTCGGCAAAGAAGAACAGCTTGGGAGGAAATCAGGAAGAGGAGGAGGGAAAGGAATTTGACGCTTGACTGTTGTCTTGGTCTAACCGTCTAAGGTAATAATCAAATTTGCTACTCTAATTAGATAGATTCATTCATCTCCAGTAGACTGAAGAGCTAGTAAGTTTATCATTGTTGTCGAGGAATTCTCATGACACCCGGGCCTGTTTGGGACAGCTTATCTGAGAAGCGCTTCCAAGATAAGCTGCACAAATAGAATAAAAGCGGTGGTCAAAATAAGCTGGTCTGATCCAGCTTCTTTTTTTATTACAAATAGGAGCTGTGGGAATAAGCGTGGTCAGAATAAGCTGCTGAAAAGTATGGCGTTTGGTTGTTGATTTCAGCTTATTTTGACAAAAAACAGCTTGCTGTACTAAAAAGGCCCCTAGTTGGAACAGTTCCACGTATAACTCAGGTGGCCATATTAGATCGATATAATAGTATGTGTTAATCTAGGCTTGTAATCTAATGAAATTCTAGGAATAATCGGTGTAGAATTTCAACATAGCCATGAGACAAAAGTCGTGGACCTTATTTTTATCTTTCCAAAGTCGTTTGTTTCACTAGAATCGGATTAACGGTTTATGAGTAATGGGCAAAACGGTGTTACTGCTCTGTCCGGCTAGAATTTTATATTCAGAATCTTCCCACTATTTTTTACCGATTTAGAGCTAGAATTCGCCCTAGTCACTTAAACGAAAGTTGTAGGAACTTTTCTGTAGATATTTTTGAGATGTATTTATTTGCCCCAATTGCTTAAGTGGATTAAGAGTTATGATTAAAATAGTGGAAACCTAGAAACTTAATCGATTTTTCTGAGAATGTATGAACTGATGATTTAGCATTCAAGCTATAAAATAGTTTCATGGTTGATGACGCCTAGTTCTTAAGGTAGGTTTGTTTCTTAGGTTTGGGAGGTGTCGGTTACTCAGTTTTGAACTTGTGACGCTGGATTCTCATTGAAGTTAAGGCAAGTGCATGATGAACCTGTGTTTGGGCTTTACCCCTACTGCTTGAGTTATCATTGTACTCAAATGTTTCCAAGTGTCATATTTTGCCGGTTCATGTTCAAGTTCCTGTTTCATGACATTCAAGTTTCAAGTTTTCATTTACATTCAATTCTAGTGACAGTTTATCTGGAAGTGCAATTTGGTTCTTATGTTCAGGTTTATGTGAGTAAGTGTTGGCCTCACTTGCTCGGATTTATTGGTAAATGCTAAGGAGTATTTAGGTGTTGTCTGATTCAGATGAAAACTACTATTTATTCGTTCATGTATTATCGTGTGATAATAATTGTTCTTCTAGTTCAGAATATACATGTTGAGTGTTTATATTCACCCTTGTGTTTATTTGGTTTTTTGGAACCAAATGATTGCGACATGCTTGAGAATAATTGGGAGTAGCACATTCATAAGCACAAACATTAAGTTCCTTATATACTTCATTCTTTAAGTCTAAGTTTTTGCCACTGAAATAGTTTAATTAAAGGTAGCTTAAATGTTGGTTTCATTGAGACAGTGATTGAAACTGGAATGATCCTACTATTTTATTTTGGGTTAGGCTATGATGCTTTTGTATTTGTTAATTCTATACCATACATGATCAGGTGATTTCCCTGTCCCGGATGTCTAGTTTTTAGGGTTGATTCTGCCGAAATTTTCAATATTTTTTAATCTTAGTGAGTTTTAGGTGTTGATGGGTAGCCCCGGTGGTGTTTCTAGTCAGGGCGTTATAGGAAACTATTGAAGCCAAAGGCCGTAATAATAAGCACCAAAAGAAAAAGGCTGAAGCTTCCAACTAAGTGCCAAAATCTAAAGCATACAGAAGATGCTAGTCAGCCTACTAATTCTAAACAAGCCAAATCATCTAGAAATCAAATTGATAGTCTAAATTAGCCATGTGAGTAATTCTCATACATCAACGTCGTTTTCTCCATATTTTTGTATAGGTTACATTACTTATAGAGAGATGATAGTTAATATGCCATCACTTATAGCTACCGATTGTTTTGATCAAAGAGATCAGTATGTGGAGAAAAGAAATACAAGGTGGTCAGGTAAGTCTATCGTGTCAAGAAAGATTGGAATTTGAGTGAAAATTCAGATTTGGTGGTAGATGAAGGAAGGCTAACAATTGAAGAGACATTGGATAATACTATTGGTCAAATTGTCCCCAGCGATGAGCATTTTTTAGAAGAAGACACGACTGAACAACATTCAAGTTCGGCTAGGGCCCTGACAGAAACTAAATTGCCAAGACTACAGAAACTAGCCTGACCGATTTTTGTACAAAGGCCAGGAAGCAAGGTAAGTTGAAGCTTCAAAGAACTTATGGATGAATACAAGAAGGAACGAGCTACATAGGCGCAGAAAGATCGACAACCAAGAAGAATTCGAAGCCATTGTTAAGACATCAAAGAGCAATCAGATCACAAATCACGAGGTAATTCTGCCACTGCACCCTATTCTATTTTTGGGTCGATTACTCTGAGGACTTGGTCATATCCTCACAATTATTACTCACTGTGGGAGTATAGTAATATGCATGTGCAGCCATATCTTATCGAATATCCAATTATTACATACTCAAACAATAATCTATCACCACATATGGTGAATTGTTGTTAACAATAATCTAGTTAATATTGCACTATCTGGTAATAAAGGGAGCGAGATGTGAGAAGGGCAAAAAAAAAAAAAAATACAAATATCTACAGCCAAGGTGGTGGCCGCCGAGTTTGTCTTACACACAAAAGAGGAGATTGCAACGAATGCTTAATGAATGATCAATGGTGTGACAAGTGAGAATGATTCTGGCAAAGTCTACATCTTCAAAGCGAGTTGTCATCTTCTAGAAGATTATTCTTTTTTAGTATACAACCTTTACAAAAAGAGCCTATGTTCGTACCCAACATTTGCCAACTCGAGCTTATTCCGGGGAAACCATCTTAACCGGTTTCCCAAACTTGCCAGGTTAATTTGGGGACCTCTCAAATTTGTAAAATTTAACTTCACCATTGTGTTCCTCTTGTCAAGATAATAAAAATTATATATAAAGCCAAATTTGATGTTTGGAGGCATTTCTAGGTTTTTGCATTGAATCTGTCGAAACCGACTAACCCGATTTAGGAAACCTGACTTTGCTGCGAATTGACCACCGAGCAGTCTAAGATTATCATGCAATTCGATTGTATTAATGTGTTGGGTGTGGGGCTAGATTTAGGATGTGGTTATGCCATGACCAGTCACGCGCCCATGACTCTCTTCTTCCTCTCGTGCGCTCGTCCTCAACCCCACCCTCCTCCTCGTCCTCGCTGCCGCCGCCACTCACCGGGCTGCCGTGGCGCACTAGAGTTCGCTGGAACTCCGTGGCCATGGCAGCCGCCTTCTTCCCCTCCCCCTTCCCGTTGTCGCGAGCTTTGGCCCTAGCGCCCCACCCCACCCAGGCCCGGCCGCCTCCACCGTCGCAAGTGCCCCTAAACTGCCTGGCCGCCATCCCCACCACCTGGCCGGCCTGGCTTCCCCAAACCCCTTTTAAGCCCGCCGGAGATAGGGAAGAAGAGAGGGCGCTAAACTCTAACGCTGGCAAGCTCGCCGGAATCCTACACGCCTTCTTCCTTAACTTCGATGCGGGCAATGGTGCCGGCACGTGCGGGTGCAGACGTGAGCGCGGGCGTGTGGGAGGGAGAGGGAGAGGTGGGCCGGCCCGCGTTGCGCCATCCGCACTCTGCGCGACTGGGAATGCAATAGAGTTTGCGCTAGATTTATTACATCAATAACACCAAGGACAACAGCCGAGTCCATGCATGCCATTCTGGATGATGGCACAGCTGCAAATCCAGGCACCACCACAGGCGCAGCTTATCTGCGGCACGGTGCTTCATTCGTACACTGTCATGTCGTGGCATGGCCACGCGGCGATGGCTGTTGTGGCAAGCCCGCGCCATGCTTACCCGGCGAATCAGCCGGGGGCCGCACAAGCTGATTTGACACTTGCCCTCCTCTCCACTTTGATCACCACCATCCATCGCCACCACAGGCCTCTTGCCATGGCGCCCGTCTTCATGTAAAGGCATCAACTACCTCTTGTCTCCACGACTGTCACCGCCACCACCGGAGCCAAGCCGAAGTGTCAAATCAGCTTGCGCGGCCCCCGGCTGATTCGCCGAGTAAGCATGGCGCGGGCTTGCCACAACAGCCGTCGCCGCGTGGCCATGCCACGACATGACAGTGTACGAATGAAGCACCGTGCCGCAGATAAGCTGCGCCTGTGGTGGTGCCTGGATTTGCAGCTGCGCCATCATCCAGAATGGCATGCATGGACTCGGCAGTGCGAGGCAGGACGGGGCCCTCATCATCACCTGGTTAGTCAAGGGGTGAATAAATGGAAAGGAAGAGGGGTAAGGTACAACAGCCACCGGCATACGGCTGGTGGCGCCCTGGCCCTGCACTGCCGCCGGCAGGCCGTGGTGACCGAAGCTTTCGTTGCCCATGGGATTCTGGCTGCTGTGAGTGTGGGTGCTGCAGTGTCCTGCCATGGCTTGTTGGGTAGATGCGTATGTAGGAACAGGAGTCTTTATAGGCGGAGGAGGGAGAGAGGAGGGTGGGGATAGTTAGCTGTATGATGTCACGGTGTTGTACTATGCAACAGCCGTGTCTCGGAGGACATGGCTTAGGTGCGGCGTGAGGGTGCGCTATGAACCTATACATGGCCAAATGGGCCGGCACGGCACGACGGGGCACAGCGGCGCTGCCCTGCCGTGTCGCGTAGTGCCGCCGTGCCGGCATCCCGGCCCAGGCACGACACTATAGGCTATTAGCTGTGCCGTGCCGTGCCGATGGGCATGGCAACCGTGCGTGCCCGTGCCACTCCTGGCCCGACGCGGCGAGGCCATCACGCCGCTGGTTCCTCGCCGAGGCCATTGCGTCGCACGTCGAGGCCGCTCACGCTCTCCAGCTCGTCAGCACATAGGCCATTGCGCCGCCGCGCCGCCACACTGAGGTCGCCGTGCAGCTCCCCCACGTCATCACGCTGCCGTCATCTTCCACTCCGTCGTCGACCTGGGAGCAGAGGAACCGCTGCATCTCACCGCCGCCCATGGAGCCGCTGCAGTGAAGGAGGCCGTGAGGCTACTATGGGAGGGAATGGGGAATGGGGAGGCGGCGGCCTGGGAGGGAAGACGCGGGGAGCGGCGGCCTAGAGTGAAGTCGCGTCCCACACGCGTGACGGAGTCGGAGGAAGCGGCGGGGTGAGGAACTGAGGATGGGAACTCAGAGGTGTGGGGGATTAGTCTTAAACCTAGGGTTTAATCCAACTGCTGATATTCATCTAAAGAGGATCCACCGATTGGAAATAGCCGGGCCGCATCGTGCCAGCCCAAAAACCGTGCCGTGCCCAGGCCGGTGGGCCATCCCAGACACGGGCACGAGGCAGGCCGTGCTGCACGGGCCAGTGCCGTGCTTTTTCGGACCTGGCCCGTGCTGGCCCAGCGGGCCTAGCCCATCTGGACATATATATATATATATATATATATATATATATATATATATATATATATATATATATATATATATATATATATATATGAACCCAGTAACTTATGTGTCTCCTTGTATCTTACTTTTTGGTCAAACTTCCGTTTGTACTCCTTTTCCAGGGCTGTGACATAGCCCATTTTGCTGAAGCATATCCAGGCTACAAACTCCGTATTTTGAAGTTTGAACACAAGTGAAGTTGCAATTAAAATGGATAGTTGTGTACAAAATAGAACTCAATCTGTTCAGTTCCAAACTGTAGTCGTTTTATTTGGCTCTTTGTAGATCTTATTATGTATGTAGATATATATTAGTGTATATATATTTACGTAAAAGTTATGTATCTAGAAAAGTCAAAATAAATTACAATTTTAGAACACAGGAGTAGTAAGCAATAATGTGTTTTTGTTGTCACAAATGTCAAGAGAATTTCGAAATTAGACAACACAAGTAGAATGTATCAATCCTTTAAGCGATATATTAGGTAGTGATCCTAGACGCTTAACTAAATGGGCATATGTGTAACTTAGATGTGCATCCAATAAACAAAGTGTTGATGATGAAGATCGGTCACAAACCACAAGTACTAAAACGCATGGGTCACAAATAGACCGAGGCGACGTGACTGTGCAGAAACTGGCCTAGCCGGTTCTCTAGGGTTGAGCCCGAGAAAAGCCCCGGGTCAGCAAAGATCACATTTACATCGTGAAGAAGAGAGGTTTGCGAGCAAATCACAGAAAGGTAACTAGTCGTGCTTGCGTGACGAAGAACGGTTAACTTCCGGGCGCGAGGATGTCGCCAGGTTGCCCAGGAAGCCTAGGGCGCCATCCTTGATCATCAGATCAAGCGATGAACAACAGCATGGAGGTTAGAATAGATTAGGGCATACCGGCATAGAGAGATAAAAGTAAATTGTATTTGGTTAGATTGTGTGTTGGGCACCTCAATCAGTCGTGCCCTTGTCTATATAACCTATATAGATGAAGGCCACTAACAATGATTGATTGCTATAAAGCTACAACCACAGCGATCCACGTCATCTGAAATATAGGCCATTGGATCATCTCCGTTTTGCGCCATCCATCGTCCAAATCATTGCGTCGGCCAGCACATGAATAGGCAGCTTCCACCCATCCGTCCCTTCGATCACCATGTCCCTCTCCATCTATGAAACCAATAAATGTCCACCAAGAGACCATTCCCAACCTCCTCCTCGTTAATTTACTATAGAGATATTCATAGAGGAGAGGAGGAGACCAGCCATTTCAGGCCTTGTTTGGATGCATGCGTATCCACTTCAATCTACATGTGTTGAAGTGAATTGGAATGGAATGGATACATGTGCATCAAAAAGGCTTGAAGAAGATGTGCTGAACCCAACCCATTGCCGAGGACAAAGGTGTACCTGGCGAGCTTCCACACAGCGACGGCAAGCTCCCGTAGGTCCGTGTGCCCACGGGACGGTGAGACGATAGCGTGTCCAACAAGACAGAGGCCAACGACAACATGCTGGGTCCAGACAGCACGGCGGAGGTCCTCATCGACAACTTCAAGAAGAATCTGAGCATCGAGGACATGGTGGTGTTGTGCAGCTCCCACACCATCGGCCCTCCCACTGCGCCTCCTTCTTGGCCACAAACCGGTAGTGGCTGGCGAACGAGACCATTAGCCTAGCGTACCAGGCGCTGCTAGAGGCATTGTGCTGCCCAACCCGGTCTAGCTCACCCCCAACACCACGGAGATCGATGTGAGCACGCCCACGATGCTGGACAACAACTACTATAAACTGCCGCCGCTCAACCTAGGCCTGCACTTCTCTGATGACCAGCTCATTGTCCGGCAATGGCACGCTCGTGTTGTTCACCAACGCCTTCGCCCGTCCGCACGATTCCCACAACCTCATGTGATGTGATGTTGGTCCATCGGTCAGACGCCAGCGCGTTGCCCCTCGGGGCTCGGCCCCTCCTCTGGCCCTAGAATCTAGGACCCAGGCCCTAGTCAGCGAGCCACCCAGGTGCCGCCGCTGCCGCCACTAGGAGCCCCACAGCCACCGCCAGACGGACTAATGTAAACAAGGGGGCAGGGCAAGGGCCTGGTGCATCAGCCGTCCAGGAGGGCAGGAGCCCCGCCACCGGCGCCGGGAGGATTTAGGTTTGGTCGATTGGAGAAGGAGAAGCATTGGTTGTCATCATGGGATGGGGAATTGTCGAACTCAGTGAGAAGGCAAGGACAGGCGTGGGCTTACTGGGCCTATCTAGCAAAAAAGGCTGCATTGGTGCATTGAAGCACATGTGGACTAAGTTTTACTTAAAAAACTGATAATTCATAACACAAATAAACATATATACATTGTCTTGACGGATAATCTAATGCCCATACAAATTACAATCACAAAGGCAAAGTCATAAATAGTGGTAAAATCAAAATAAGGGACAAAAATATCTAATTCTGTATCTATATTTAATCTTTTTTCCACGAGAAATCAACTCTAGTTTCCGCGGCAATGCGTAGGGTTAATTTCCTAGTATTTATAAGGAGGGGTTGATATGTCAAAAACTCTTACAAAACATGTTTTAGATCCAATCTTAGCCTGCCAAAACTGGCCTTGCCGGTTACAGAACCGGCATGGCTGGTTTACGTCGTCCAAGGCAGAAAACATTCCAAAAATAGTAATTAATTCATCGGACTCCAAATGAGGTGATCGATATATGTTTTTTGGTCAACTCGATGAGAGAAATGCAATAGTGCAACCCATTCTTCCATTGGAGGAATTTGGAAAATTACCAAATCCGGCCTGGCCGGTTTTGGGAACTGGCCAGGTTCGGGTTAGCCCCCCAAAAAGTTGTTTCCTTTGTTCGGGCTCCAATGAGATGACCCAAGTATGCTTTCTGAATGTTTCGATGATAGAAGCAAGATGTTGGACTCCATTATGCATTTTAACCATTTTGGGTGTCAACTTATGCCCCCTTGTTTTTAGTAAAGCTTGCATACTAAAAAACAACTTAAAGGCCAAAATTGACTCATTGTTGTGGTCTTCTTTGGAATATCAGCCATGCCTTCTGTTTGTTGCCTTCAACTTATCCATAGTAATGTCCTTAGCTTCTTCCATCAATCATTGTGCAGGCATAAAGCGACCAAATTGCCACCAGCCACAATTACTTCTGATTTTGATCCTACAATTTGGCCTTGTACAGCCAACATCCTGTCTTTGTGTGGCTCCGGAATATAATATAATTACTAGATTTGGTCCCCCAAAATGTCTGAATTAGCATCTTGTTTAAATAAAATAATTAGATGTCCTCCCAAAAAACCATGGCTTGCCAACAAGACGTATTAAAGTGGCAGGCTCCAAGGAGATATCATCATCCTGAATTTCAAGCGTCTCAACGACAAACATTCGGTAGAAAGTCAATACAAATCACCATTGACTAGAATATAGTTGCTTGCCAATTGCCGAATACCTTTATCAATTTTAGCACTTGGATTACCTAAACAATCCATAATGGGAGTTCTCCAATCATCCAAATGGGCTCTAAGTTCTGTGGAGTAACAAAATCAAAATGATTTGAGCCTTCCCCGATGAAGTTAGCCTGGTCACCTCCAAGATCCGGCCTGGCCAGTTCTACTGCAGAACCTGCACAGACGACATAAACAACGGTCTGGCTGGTTTCTAGAACTAGCCTAGCCACCTCTGGCAGACTGGCTGCCACTTCATCCTTTTGCATCGGCTTTTCTCTCATGTGAAAACTAAGCCCACCTACGTCGAAGCCAAATGCTTGTTCAACCAACACGTTGACCTTACTGTCCTTGATCATGCCTTCGAATATGCCGAATTCGGAATTTGGTAAAATATGCAATGATGTCAAGGCACTTGATAAGATATGCATTAGGTGATCCTTCAAAACATCTAAACATACCAGCAACTTGTTATACCACAAGTAAAGAATCATGAAGGGCTTCAACATGTTTCACTTCCATGGATTGCAATATTTCTAAGCCAAAT